TGTGGCGTGGTGAGTGGATCCCCTGTAGCTCCTGGAAACTACACCCAGCAGTGGCCTCTACAAGCCCCAATCCCTTCAAGCATGCTTGAGATGCTTGAGATAAAAATCGGGCCTATTTCTTAAAAATAGGGTGTTTTTTTGTTTTTGGTATTCTCGGGGCTTCTGTGTGGTATGGTGAGTGGAGTCCCTGTAGCTCCTGGAAACTACACCCAGCAGTGGCCTCTACAAGCCCCAATCCCTTCAAGCATGCTTGAGATAAAAATCGGGCCTATTTCTTAAAAATAGGTTGCTTTTGTGTTTTTGGTATTCTTGGGGCTTCTGTGTGGCATGGTGAGTGGAGTCCCAGTAGCTCCTGGAAGCTATGCCCAGCAGTGGCCCTTACAAGCTCAAACCCTTTGTGCTGCTGCTGTTGCTGGACTTACCTCGCTTATTTTCGTTTCGAAATTATTCTACCTCGTACCTCGTCAGGTGAGCTCGCCTTAATTTGCCCAGACTGAATAGTGTCTACAGTACGAGGTATAGATATCAATAGTATAAACTTGCAGTTATTTGCATAGGTTGCGGTACATGTTCCCATTACATAAAGCCGTTGAGAGGGAATTCTTTAGAGACTATATATGCTGTAGATATAGATCCTTTCTTGAGACGGGTTCCTTGTCCCCCAATCACTTACTGTATTGCTTTGGACTTGCATGCCTGTTTCATATTGGCCGACACTTCGTGCTTTTGCTCTCTCTCCTTCTTCTTGACAAAATCCGGCAAAGGGCATAGCGTCCGGTAGCATGTGGGTTCAAACATGTAATGATATGCACCTTGATCTTCTGATTCATGCTTGTAGATGGCAAAATTGTTCATGAACCTTGAGACTTCCACTATTGACCACCCTGTGACCTGAAGTGGTCGCCCACGTCGAATGTACTCGGCTTTCGCTGCCTAGGAGACACTGGAACAGCCCCATACATCACACATAGGGACTAGATGGAAGTGGAAACTATTAGAACATATTAGACCCTATTAACAATATCACTTGCACCATTGTAGAGACGAGATGCCTTGCACATGCCATCT